TCTTTTATGTGTCCTTCCCACTTAGTCACCTTGACTAAGCCATACCATTACCAATAGTTCAAATCAACACTTCGAACTAAGAACTTTATTGAATAAAATCACAAGAACTTTATCCTTGTTTAGCCATAAAATCACATAATGATTTAACCTTAACACTTTAACAAGTTTGCCAATAGATAATAAGTCTTCTAGACTTTTAAGTTATTGACCATGATTTCGAGGGCATCCCTCATACTTGGCAATATGCCCAAGCTAGCGCTTTTAGCCAAGGGTCCATAACAATTGAGACTGGGTGTTCTTATCTCATTCATTATATATTTAGTACTATTTGTACCAAAGTGTTCAAGTTAAATATGTTGAGTTTTCACATGAAATAATCTAACCATGCATAATGACTTTGGGGCATCCCCCACTTGGTGGTGTGCCCAAGCTAGCCTCCATACTGTGAGTTTATAACCACCAAAAACATGAGTGTCCTTATATTCTAACTCATCATCACACCTTAGTGAGTTGGGACTCAAACCCAAGTATTAGAGAGTTGGGACTCGAACCTAACCTCCATATATGCATCTACAGGTAGCATCACCCAGGATGTTTGGTGTGAGTTCTTATGCCGATATGCCAACTTATGTGTAATGCACACTACAAATCACAGCTTAAGAACTTAATTCCTTTGAACTTCCAAATCCTCTCACTTTAGAAGCTACATGACTAGCTTGTAATCATGCATAGACTCCTCCATGTTTGGTCTCATGGGCCACCCTCTTGAAGTTATTACCTTCAACTAGGTTTTTGTTAGTCCGACTTGCCAATCCCATTTAACAAGTTACCCAATCAGCATAACATAGTTCTTTGCATAAGTGTGAAAATCCTCAAATATCAACTTTTGTTTAAATTTATTTCTTTGAACACTTGGGAATTATTTCCCAAATTTTGATAGCCTCGTCTTATAGCAAGTTTCAAAACCACATTTCTGTTATGCCACTTTGATTTTGCATATCCATATGAACCATTTACACTTGGCTTTCTAAGTATTAACTTACCCAGAATTGTCTTTAAGAGCATTGAAAGGACTTTATCCCTTAGCTTGCTAAAGTTTCTCCTTTTGTAAGCTTCTTCATTACCACATGGTTTAATATTAGCAATTCCATGTATTTAGACACACCATAGCATCACAATTGTTAGTAGCAACACCTTCAAACACCCATTTGATTCTCCACTCTCAATTTGTATAGCCATTTTTGGCTATACCATTCAATTCTATCCCTTTATTATTTGCTTTTGGCCTCACATGTTTTCTTCAATTATTCTCCTCTAGACTGAGAGGATAGCTTTACACTTTCTACCATGCTTTAGCAAATATTCTTAAAGATGAACTGACCTAATAGCGTAGGGAGTGGTTTTTCAATTTGGATATACTCACCTTATTATCCCACATATCGGGATTAACATTACTATTTATAAACCTTTATATGTTCGTTATTAGCATTGCTAAAATTTTTTTGGCTTTGTCCAATTCAAATGGATGGACTTTTCCTGTCTCCACAACCTCAGATGTTAGATAGCACCTCCTATCTGTTATTCACTAGCGACTTAATTCTTTGGGCGTTATCTAATACTCTAATGATACCAAACATCATTTTCTGGTGTTTTAGAGTGTTTAAATGTCTTAATGATGGCTTTATTTGACAATGAATATTTCCTTTTATGACATTGACTCATTATATCTCAACATAAGCAATTTATCCCTCAAGGGATATATCTAACCTCCTTATTATCCCAATAAGAAGTTTTATGAAGTTAGCTTCCACCAATTCAATTATTATGCCTCACTTTTTGTTTATTTACTTTATAGTCATCAAGTCCTACAACTCATTGCTAATGCTTTCACACCTTTATCATTATTTGAGTCCATGCATTCTAATTGCATGCATTATAGCTTAAGTGATGCCAATCCCATTTCCATTGGGATTTCTTTGGCAAAAGGTTTTTATAAACCAACCAACTTGATTCCAAAACCTCATCCTTTAAAATATTTAGTGTCTCTACACTATCGACCCTATGAGCCTACTCTCACGACACTACCCACTTGTATTTAGGTCTTGCTATGACCATAATAGTCATTTCTTATATCAACTATTAGTTAGCACTACAACATAGTGTTCATATACCACCTTTCGCCAAAGTTGCTTTTTTCTGTGAACACTTTTTCCCACGACTTTAGTATAGCCTATCTGCCTGCCCAGGAAGCTCTACACATCATTCACACACTTCAGAGCAGAGTACTTTTAAATAGCCACAAGTTTGTCATGATCAACTTGCAAACCCTCACGAGAAATACATTACCCAAAATAAGTGTCCTTGGACCCAAACACACACTTCGACCACTTCAACTTTAAACTAACTTCCCATAGTCAATCTAACACTTTACGAATATCACAAATATATTCCTCCCATGTCCCGTCCGAGTGGATCAAGATATCATCAATGAAGTCATTAGTCACCTTTAGCATATTGCAAAAAATGTCATCCATCATCCGCTAGAAAGTCGCTAGAGCATTGTTCAAACTAAATGACATCACTAAGAATTTATATAAACCAAACTTGTATAAACTAAATAGTGTACAAAAAATAGTCTTAGGAATATCTTCTTTGGCCATCGGTACTTGCCAGTACCTAGAAGCAAGATCTAGCTTGGTGAACTGACTTCTCCCTAGACAATCCAAGAAATCAGTAGTGTAAGGAAGAGGGTACACATTCGGGATCATCATTTCATTTAATGAATAATAGTCGATGCAAAAATGACTACTCCCATCAAACTTCATTATAAAACAAGGTTCACATGCCTAAAGACTCTGCGACTTTTAAATAACACCCTTTTCCAACATCTCATTAATGTTTGCACATAAAATCTTGATTTCTTTGGATGACCAATGACAAATAAGAACCTTGATTGGATGAGCATCCCCAGTTGGAATCAAATGACATGTGGTAATCTTAGCCCCAAACGATAGATTAAATTCAAAGAGATCAACATACTCCTTCATGAGCTGGTCAATTAATGTAACACAAAGACCGTTAGAGGGATTGGAAAAGGGAAAAGCAGAACAAAATGGAAATATAAAAGGAAGTAATAGGGAGAAAAAGTAATGGAAACAAAAGTAAAAGCAAATGAACGAAAAAGTATGGAAATGAGAGAAATGAATGAAATATAAGAAAGTACGAGACAAAGGGGAAAAGCCTCAAAATCACACTTGGCATAAGTGCATTACAACCAATTTATACCAAGGATGAAGTCAAAAGCTTGACCCAGCATGACTGCAACTCAAGCTTGAGATCACTTACACGCACAACTAGGTTCGCCTCATCCCGTGCACATGCATATGTATGACCATTGCTATAAAGAATAAAAATTGACTCTGCCACATGACGTAAATGTAGATGGCAACATGTGGCAACAAGTTGAGTAATAGAAGATAAACTCGAACCTGTATCAACCAACACAAAGAGAATAACATGAGACCTCTTATTATAAAAAACAAGCATGGAAAGTAAACATTGGATGAATTGATGCTAAGTAAACCTCTTGATAATACTTCCGAAAGAAATATAGAGGGGTCACTGACTTATTCACACAAGGTCTTTTCATTACTTATGCAATTCCTTGTTTCTTAGATGCATCTTGGCGTCCAGACCTTCCACGGCAGTAGCTCCAATAGGACGTTGTTGATGCCAAGGTTTCCACCCAAGAAATGGAAGCCACCAATTTAAAAAACATCAACAACACCAATAAGTGTGACCAACTTCATCACACACCTAGTAGTGAACATTATGGCCACAACCACGTCCTCGCTCTTGTCCTTGAACTTGAGCAACAGTAGCATCAACTTTCATTGGAATAAGGTCATCTCCCACATGAAGTAGAGCTGAAGGACATGCAATGAGAAGTGGAAGAGGCGATATTTCATAATGTTGCGTCAAGCGAAGGGCATTGTTAAGGTGGTTTGAGCAAGTGCATACAGAAGTCTTATAAGATCTTGATAAAGTGTTGGCCACAACATTCCTAACTTGATCTGCTTCAATATATTTGGCTCTACACGAAACAAAAGGCTTCGGAAACAAATGCCAAATTGCATCACTAACTTAAATGGTCCTTGACGAAAGTGATGTAATTGTTGGAAAACATCATTACAATCGTTGACATGTTTGAATACGTGTTTGAAGACATCCAGGAGAATACTCTAATCTTCATGAGTAGTTGCGCTCAAACCATTATACCACTACAGCACCGTCCCTTAGAAACATATAAAAAACTCATGTAAACGTAAAGTATCATCCCAAGAATGATATGTGGCAATCACTGTGAAGTGATCGAACTAATGGTACACATTATCCCTAGGATTCCCACGAAAGAACTCTAACCAAACATAAGGATTAACACCAAAAGCAAGAGGAACTATACCACATCCCATGAATGTTATTATCAATTGAGTTTAGTTGTTGAATTACAATTGCACTAACTATTGTTCCAAAGTTAAAGGGGGAGGAGATTGCTACTCTACCATGAAAATGAATGAAAATGAAAGAGTGAAAAAAAAGAAATGAAATAAAGCTAAAGGGAAAGGGAGATCTAAACAATGCAAAAGCTAGACCTAAACCAAAATCTCAAAAGGAAAAAAGAAAGTAAATGGAAAAAACTAGATCTCAAAAGTTAGATTTAAACCAAAATCTTAAATCTAAACACTCCTCAAGGACAATCAAAAATGCTTTTTATCTCCACCAATATGAGTGCATAGAATATGGAAAGGAAATACAAAAGATGTGTATATCAATTAGCTCAAAAACCCTAATTTATATACAAAAGCAAGTGGTTTAAATTAAAACTAATTCTATGGTTACCAAAACCCCACTACGCTAATATTAATATATAATATCATAACCATACACTCATGTCAATACTTTGATCTATAATAAGGAATATATCTTTTAGTTACTCATTATAGTTATAATTAGAATTGGATTATGTATTAGATGTGGATTTCAAGAGTTAACAATACTAGGTTTTGTTAGTTATTTGTTGTCCCTGCTCTTGAACACGCTTGCACCAAAGAAGAGGAACATCCAGATGAATGCTGCCACCACAATCTGCGCCTTGGTGCTCAGATCATTCAGCTTCCCTGCAGAGTAGATAGAATCTAAAGGACGTCACAGAAAAACAGTTGGGACTGGCTCCTCCTACCTCCCAAATTTCCAAAAGACTCCTCGTGCGGTTCATCTTCGCGATTGTTGCTGCTGTTGCTCCCGCCGCCATCACCAGCCGCAATCCTCATGCTCCCTTCTCGTCCACGAAAAAATCTACCCGGCAGTGGCACCCGCAGGCGGCAGGGAGGAAGAATCCGATGGTGCAGCAACAGAGGCGTTGAATCGGTGCCGGGTGTGGCGAACGTGGGACTGATCAATCCCCTCATCCGATGGGAAACAGGAACAAATTACGCATGAGAACTAGTACTGCTGCGGAAGGAGGCGATGCCAAATCGAAGTAGCAAAAAAATATCTACCCACAATCAACATACTAACTTACGATCAACGTAGAAAAACCACGAATCAACAGCATGGCAGCACATTCCAAAGCGATAAGAAAAAAATCCCTCCTTGCAAATGGATAAGAAAAGAAAAGCACAATCAGGGCAAGCAACGTCTCCTCTCCCCGCGGCAAAATCGCCATGGCTTCCATCTCCGCGGCCACGAGAGGACTCCGAAACCCATCAGGTACGCACTGGCACTTCACGCAGAGACCCACCGGCATTCTCGCTCCGAGGACCAGCATTCTCGCGCGATCCAACATTCTTGGAACCCAATTACGCTGGCGAGTCGTCCTCCCGCATCACCACCACAACCACGCTATCCGCGCGGCCATCGGCGAGAATCCCACCAACAACCCGGACGACTTCGTGGTGCTGGGCCTGGGCCACTGCTTCATCGAGGACTCGAACGGCAAGCTCCAGGACCACTTCGTGCTCGAGCCCATCGGCGCGGGCGCGCTCGAGTGCATGGAGAACGGCGGCAAGACGTGCTACAAGCACGTCGCCAGCATGCACTTGAGCACCGCGCTGGCGCAGGATCACTCGCAGCTCCCCGAGGAGCTCCGCAGCGGCGCCTTCTGCGAGGACTTCGCCTTCCGGACCAAGTGCGCGGCGCGCTCCTGGATGCGCGACTACCCGCAGGAGAAGATCGTGCGCTACATCCCGCTGGGGACAGTGCGCTCCGACTTCAACTACAACCTCGAGGACAAGCGCGTGCTCAACAAGGTGAACATCGTCACCGACGCCGACAACATCAAGCAGGACATGAGCATCGACGTCTACGGCCGGAAAAAGGACGACGATGCCAACACCGCCACCGACGCCGCCCCGCCCTCCAAAAAGGAGCTCGAGGAGGATCTCATCTCCAGCTTGTACAACGCTTGAATCTCAATCGTCTTGGCCTTCCAAGTTTTCCAAAGTTTTAGATCGATCAACATGAACAGCCGAAGCCCACCTTGAATTGTCTGCTCTTCCAGCCTCGCCATCTTCCCTCCAGCTTGCGTCCCAACTAGTTTTATCTGCTTAGGGGCACACACTCCATCCAGTTAACAAGAACACACCACGCATTCTTCAGAGTTGCATCATATAAACCAAGAACTTGTATACAAAATTGTCAGTGAGAAAAACAACACCCAGGCAATAGGACCATTCGCTTGCAATCCCTGCCTTTAGCTACTAGTTAATATGTTACTGAATAGCTATGCATCCATCCACACACCTAGATATAATATGTACACAGAAGCTAAGACCTCTCTAGCTAGCACAAGCAATCCACAACCAAATTACAAAGGGAGTAGCGGTAAAGACAGTACCTCCGGCTTGCTTTTAGAGTATTAGTAGAGCTGGCCTGAAGCGGTGTTTTTGCTGCGGCTAGCTTCTTGATGTGTGGGACAGACACAACGCGAGAAGCGAGCTCGCGGTGTTGCCTACTTGGTGAAGGTGATGATCACGATGGCGATGGAACCACCAGCTTGAGGTTGATCTAAAACTCCTCAACTTCCACTGTATCAATGCGTGTCAATTATCAGCGTCAATCTGGTGTGTCACGGCTTACCGCCGGGATTGGCATCCTGTTCTGTAAACTCTTCATTCGTTCGAGCCTGTATGGCATTCAGCTGCTCTTGGTTCATGTGACTCAGCTCCGCGGGAGACATGATTTTGATGCACCGGACGCAGCTCACAAATTCCCTGCGGAAAAAGGAAGTGAGCCACCACCTTACATGGAGGACGATTTAATCGAAACTTACTCCCAAGGATCGTCGCCAACGAGCAAAACATCGTTTTCGTTGTCCACGAACACGAGCTGCCAGCCTGATCGGTGCGGGTCTTCAAGCTGTCCCTCAAGTCCAAACATTCGAGCCAGCTCACTTCTCAGCCCATCGTAACAGTTCAGACGTGTTAAGTCCAGAGACCTTCCGACAGAGCCTGTCTTATACACCTGTTCACAACGAGACCAGTAAGATTTGTAAGCTCTGGAAAAAAAATCACAACAAAACTGGCACATTACCTTGGTGAATGTTCTCGGCAACATGTGCTGCGCGCTAGAACTTCTCTGTAAGTACGCAGGTTCTTCCAAGGTGCCGTTGTCTGAGCTCAAGTGGAGATCAGAAGCAGTCGAACTGAGAACTCGTTGCTGACCATCCTTCGATTTCGGCCCCTGGCTCGAAGGAGTAATGCATTCGGGCTCTATGCTGACCCCAAAGAGGAGATGACTCCTGGAATCTAGAGGCAACGTATCTTGCTCCTGCTGCTGCTGAGCATCCTTGAAAGTTAAACCGGCCGTTACACCTTGCTCAATGTCATTAATAGAGAACACGGCCCCACTGCCAGAGTATCCGTCCAAATGTCCGAACTGCAGTGGCTGTTCTGTAGGAAAATCCTTCTCTCCCACGTACCAGCCGTGAGTATCCTTGATTTGGATGGCTTCTTGCTCACCGCCTATGTTTCTTGCGTACTGTTGTTCCAGCATACTGCTCTGGTAAGATCTTCCATAGGAGCTCAAGGCAATATCACTGGAGTCCCCACGCTGCTTCAGGGATTGAGGCCCACTTGAGAGATGCAATGCAGACTCGGACGATTGTTGCGAGAGTTGAACAACCTGCTGCTGCTGTTGCTGCTGCTGCTGATGCTGATGGCAGTTATACTCGTGAGCTTGTTGCTGTTGGGGTAACGCAGACAGTAGTTGCGTATGCTGCTGCTGCTGGCCTTTCATGTGAATCTGCTGCATGGGCAAACCTTTCGGCGTTTGCGAATGCGTTGCGTCTTGAACCCGGCTGCAGTCATCGGGACGAAAAAAGTCCGACCTCGCCCCTGACGCGGCAGAGTCCGGCCGTTGATGGAGCTGCATGAGTTGCTCCGAGTACATGTTCCATGACAGGTTCTTTTCCAAACCTTCGCTTTTGATCCATTTTCCTGCGTCCACAGCTTCAACTTCTCCTGAATGTGAAAACAAACATGAGTTAAAAGCCTCGAGTATCACGGGGCTTACTTGCTATTGGATTGGGCCCCAACGCCTGGGACCACGGCCTTTTGGATCGAAAAGTGAAAGACGGAGAACAGACGAGGTATGGTGTTGAAGCGGGTTCTATCTCCCAAAGGGATATGCGTTGCTGCTTTTCGCCAGCGGCAGGCTCGTCCCACTCAACCTGTGAGTACAAGTCAGGAAAGAAAAAAAAAATCTTTAAAGACCTTTAATGAGCGCCAATGAGAATTCGGCCATCGCACTGGATCCAGATCACCGGAACCAACAATCGTACCTGTGTGCCTAAAATCATCAAAACAAAAATTTGACACCTTCAAATAGGAAGCCCATTGTTTACCTTCGGATTCCAGACTCCTCAGTCTCGAATTGCATTCGAAACCTCATGCCTGGAGAGACTTGCATGTTGTTATATACTGCATTGTAGTACTTTGACAAAGGGATCACAAATTCTGATGGGCTAGCTCTGCAAGAAAAAAATCCGAATCATCTACTGCGAATGCGTAGTCGTCGTCACCTGGGATTGTAGAATATAGTAAATCGACTGCTCGTAGAATTCGCGTGCGCTGCGGCCGCAAGAATACCAATATACATGCTATCAGTTGACAGCAGCGACAGTGGCATGGATGCTTGCTGCCGGTTTGCACGCCTTATTCCAAGAAGAAGTTGCCCCTTCTCGTCCCTGTGGACACTTGTCAGTTTCGCAGGACGAGAAGCAGAATTGCTAACCTTATGAAGAGAACAGCGTCGCCAGTTTGCAGGCGCTTGGCGCTGACAAAAACGCTCCATCCCGTCGTAAGAAGGTGCCGCCGTGGCTGGCCTGCAATGCCGGCACATAGCATTGCTTACACGGGATCCATGGCTAATGAAGAATACCTCGATAGATGTGTCTGAAGCGCCATTCCGTGTCGTGTAAATCCCTCGCAACAATCTCCTGGGCCGGAGGTTGCTGGGAAAAGTCCTATAGCAGAAAGTTTACAAGTAAGCTCGTGACGACAGTTGAAATGCTACACATACCAGAGGGGGGAACACTTTCTCGGCGGCCCTACGAGGGATAGAAAACCCGCCGTGTGTACTTGTGTCACTTGCTGTCAGCGTTTTACAAAAATACTCCGACGGCTGCCGGTTCTGTCTGCCCAAGTCAGACACCATGAACGAATCCTTCTCTTGCTACAAAACCATGCGAGCGAGAAATAAAAAAATGAGTAACAATGATCCGGAACAGTAAACTCGAGACAACTTACAGCATTCATAGGCTGAAGAGTCATCTGGGCATACACTTCATCCGTCTCGGTATCAGCCTGCGTATGAGAAGAGTGTACGAGAGACCCTTAGAGCTCACTCACTCGCTCGCAAAGAACTAGAACTTACATGGAGAGTGATGTTGTGGAGTTGACAAACGAGATGGGGCGGAAGATTGGGATAGCTAGGAATGTCGGCATCGGCCTCCTTCTGGGTCGAGGCAGCCACCTTGAAGAGAAGGAGAACCTTGGAATCAGTCTTAAGCTCTCCGGTGGAGGAAGAATCCCGCTTACCTGTTCGCTGTGGCCTTGGGGGAAGTAGACCACTCGAGTCCCAACAGAGGGCAGAGAGACGAGCGGCCCAGCACAGGCATGCCAAAGCTCCGGATTTGGACCTCGTTTCACACCTGGAGTGAAGCATTGCGGCTTAGAGCTCTGATACACTCCTAGCTCCGCTAACATTGAAATCCGGCCGAAATGTCATCCTTACCTTCCATTGCCACTCGCGATGCGCAGCGCCGGGCAGGAGAATCACCTCACCGCGCTTCTCATCCCGCGCATTCTCACTCGGCGCGGCGCCGCGGCCAAACCCCTGCCTCTAGATCACCCCCACACCGCTCCACATTGCCACAATGCTTCCAAAGCCACCAGATCCGAGACGATCACTCGAAGCAGCCGCTCAAAGAGACCCTAGCAGCGCCCTCGCGGCTCCAAGGAGCCAAGAAATCTGCCACATTGAGGAGCTATGGAGCTACGCCGCCGGCCTATGCGCAATACGAACCTCGTCCAGCCAAATGCAGCGAGACCTAACTAGCGAACACGAAAACGCCACCAATTGTAGCGGTCCGCCAAATTTTGGCTTAGCGGTTCCCCATGGCAGTACGCTGTCTTTGGAGCATGGCCTGGGCATCACCCCTGTGTGTCTGGGCACATATATGTCATTCCACGTACCGGTCTTTGTCCGAGGGATTCTTCTAATGTCCGCCAGTTTACAACCCCACAGCGTTAATAGACCCATCGGTCCATTGCGTCTTGCTGGCGTGGTCGGGCAAACGCCGTCGGATGCGCTGGAATTTGGTCCCTGAGATCCCCCGCGAGAAACGTTGTAATCATTAATGGTCCCACGCACATGGTTCCAGACGTGGACGTGGCGACATAGCAGCCGTGAGATGCCATCGCGTCCCTAGTTTTGGTATCCCCCTCCGTTGGATTCATAAGGGCGGGATTCCGAAAATGGACGGACACGACGGAACGGACCCCAGTGTGCCATATGCCCCATCCGCGCCATACCGGAGCCGCCGGTCCGTACCGGTCCATGGATAAGCTTTGAATGAATGAATGCTGGCACACACATACATACCCCTTTCTTTTTCAGAGGAACCATGGCATCCATAAGCTTTCAGGAATCGATTAAAAATTCGGTGTAAAGTATTTAGCTCCAAGGTTGTAGACGACGAATAAACAAAAGGATGGCCTAGGGCACGAGTGCCTATGTTAAACACGGCGAAAATGGAAATCAGACGTAAGCATGAGAGGGAGATATCGACGTTTTTTCTGTATTCTTGTCCACTGAAAAGAAAAAGCTCTGTGGGTGTCTGATTTGACATGACATGGCTTTACTTTAGGTTAGCACAGCAGCGCATGCCCCATCTTATCCCAAGCACCAATCGTATAATACGGCCGCCGGGGACATTTCTTTTTACGTGAATCGATTCCATGATCATTGACAAAATGGATTATTGCCTTCCATAGTGCGATTAATATTTTAAACGCCAAGCACATTAGTGATGTTGTTTGATCACAGATGGAGGTTTTCTCCCACCATAATGGAGCCCGAAAATTCCGCGAAGCCCGGCCGTGACCTATTCTCTTTTGTGGCCACGACGAGTGGAGGAATCCCCTCTCGCGCCCCTTTAAACAAGTAAGCCTTTTAACTTTACTACCAAGTGAATCAAGCGAGATCAGATCCGCGGCTGTGCATTGCATTGCGCCCAAAAAGCGCAACACTTGTCAGCCCTGGGGAAGAATTTTGAAATCTTCAGCACGGAGAATGCGACACCCAAACAAACGAAGATGCCGGAGAATATACTGCTAGCTTGCCCTAACTCCAGGAACAGGGGGGCATCTTTTTTGGCGTTGTGACAGCAATCCCTGCCGCCAGTTTGTGGCCGGCTGCCGACACGTGGCTAGATCCAGGGCCGCGAGCTTGCGCGTTTCTTTGCTCGTCACCTAGTGGGAGCTATTTCCCCCTGTTGCTTGTCGGATGTGTGGGTTTATAGGTGAAATTTTTGTTTGTAGGGCTGCTAGTTTGTCGCATCGACCGATCGATCATTTGCAAAATGGGGGAACCAATCGATCCATTCGAGATTTTTGACTACTCTACGTTAGGTGGCTGATCGCTTTCATGTGAGCTATATTCCGGTACGGTGTTCTAAAAAACTCAAGGATCTGGAGACATTTTTTCCGGATGGATCGGCTGCTAGTGATTGATCCAAAGGAGCTCGTCTTTGATTTCGAGATTGGGCAGCGATGCAGCAGCTTCGTGATTCTCAAGAATGTCATGTTCACGATGCCGGTGGCGTTCAAGATCACCGCGCCGTCCAATGCCGGGGTGGCCAATTCCAAGAAGTACACGATGAAGCCATCGCAGGGGATCATCCCTCCCGCCGGGAGGGCCACCGTCGAGATCATCCTCAACCCCCAGCAATCCCTTCCGGACGAATTCCCAAACTCGCTCGACAATTTCGTCGTCAAGAGCTTGGTGGTTCCCGGCGGGAATCAACACAACAGCGTCTCCAACGAGTGGTTTGAATCCAAGAAGAACTTCGTCTACGCCGACGCTGGATTGAAAGCCTTCTTCAAAGGATCGGCCATCGTCTCCGCTTTGGTTGCCTCTCCGGATTCGACGATGGAAGACGTGCGAGAAGTCCTGGAACGGGGCGTGGACTTGAACAAGCCCGGATCCAGCGGCCCGGATCGATCCCCGCTCCACGTCGCCATAGCTAGCGGACGGCCCGAGATGGTCCAGCTCCTTCTCGAGTTTGGCGCGAATGTTGAGGTCCGGGACAGGTTCGGCAAAACACCGATGCACGAGGCTGCTGCCGCGGGACAGACGCTAGCCATGGAGCTCCTTCTCGCAAACGGAGCAAACACAGAGGCCCGGACGGAATCCGTCGGATGGACAGCACTCCACTTCGCCACGTACGCACATCATTTGGACGCGGTTCGAATCCTCTTGGCGAAGGGCGCGGATGTCAACAGCACCGCCGGGCCGGAGGAGCGTACCGCGCTGCACATTGCTACCGCCGGCGGTGCACAGCGTTGCTTGAAGCAACTGCTCGAGCATGGTGCCAATCCTAACGCCGTTACCGCCACTGGGCAGACGGCGCTCCACATCGCGGCGGGCCAGGCCGACGTGGCGGCATCTCGGCTGCTGATCCAACATGGCGCCTGGCGGAATGTGCGGGATTTGAATGGGCATATTCCGTTTGACGCCGCTGTGGAGGCGGGAGCTGATAAAAGCTTGCTCGATCTGCTCAAGCTCGGCGATGATCTCCGGCGCGCAGCCAGGAGGGGCGATCTCAAATCTGTGAGGGTTTGTCTTAAGCAGGGCGCCGATCCAAACGGGAGGGATGAGAATGGATGGACCGCGCTCCACTGCGCGGCATTCAAGGGGAGTTTGGAAGTGGTGAGGCTCTTGATCGACAGGAATGTCGATGTGAATTGCGAGGATTGCGAGGGATACTCGCCGCTCCACTGCGCGGTGGAGATGGGGCACAGCGAGATCGTCCAGGTTTTGATGAGGAGAGGGGCGGATGTGAATGCCAAGATCAAGAAAGGGTGTTGTGCGGTCAAGATTGGGAGCTTGATGGGCGAGGATGGAATCGTGGGATTGCTGCTGGACGGCGGCGCCAGGGACGCGAGATCGTTGGTTAGTAGCGTCTCCACAATAAATTTGGGGAAAATCCGCGGTAGCGATGATTCGTCTCTCAAAAAGAAGAAGAATGGCGAGAGGTTTCCAAGATCCAGGACATTGAGCTGCGAAGCCTATTGATCCCGGACAACATTCTTTTGTAATCAAAATTGAAAAAGGAAAAAAGAAAAGCTTTGATTGGTTAAAGGTCGCATTCTTGTATAGATTCCATCGAATTAAATAAAGGAAAACTGAAGAGTTTTGATTGGCTAAAGGTTGGCGGAGTTTACCATCAAATTAAAAAAGAAGTTTTGATTGGCCATAGTTCGGCGGCTACGAGGCATATGCTTCTTCCATTGGCCGGGGACGGAGCTCAATTGGTAGAGCATTCGCCTTGCACGCGAAAGGTACGGGGTTCGATACCCCGCGCCTCCATTTTATTATTCTATTTAAACGCCCCATATATCGTTTTTTACTCGGAGTGCTTCTTCGATGGCTTTTGGACGATGAAGCTGATGCACTGGACTTGCCTGATGTTGTCAAATCCAAGAACCCTAATGTAGGCATTGGGATACATAGATTTGCACTCCTCGATTTCCCTTAAAACTTGAGCTGGATCACTGCAGCCAAACATTGGGAGCTTCCAAAGAGTCCAGTAGCGACCGTCGTAGTAACCAGGTTCTCGCGAGTTCTCACGGCTAATCGCCCCAACCTTATTAGATCAAGAAACCCGTCAGGAACTCCCGAAGATAAAAGTAAACTTGAGAACATTACGTGATCGAATTCGAGGCAGGGAATCCAGTTCTTGCTCAGCATGTAGTCGATCTCTCTGGCAACGTTGTCGGGTGACAAAGGGGGCAAATACGAGAGCGTTTCGAACCGGGAATTGGAGAGCGGGCAAACAATCTTGCAAGATTTGCGCTCTGGATTTGAGAGGATTAAAAACGATATATAATCTTACCTGCATGCAATTCACGCGGCTGCCACTCGAAACCCTGGATGTCTTTGCGATCAAATTTCGGAAAGCTCTTGTTGCTCCCTTGAGCGGCCATAGGAACGACGATCTTGGCGAAGATCTAGATGTTGATCTGGGATGATCCCACACGCCACCGGGAAATCGCAAGAACACACTCGCAGCGGCTGCCATAAGATCGTCAATCACTCTCGCCGGTGATTAAATATCCGGGTATCGCACGAAAATAATACTCGTTGCGAAAGCTGCCTACTTTTGTCACTACCTCGATATTGCATGTGCGAGGTGGCAAAATTTAAGAAAACTAGGGTATAGTATGATTCCTTCTTGTTGACAGTGGGGTTCGAACCCACGCCCTATCGGACCAGAACCTTAATCTGGCGCCTTAGACCACTCGGCCATGTCAACCGCGATGATACGTGGAAATCTTTTTGACTCCACACCACATTTGCTACATTTGAAGCTTCGCAACTTACCTTTATCTTTGTGATCATCCCATCATAGTTTTGATTCCATGAAACTTCAGCGCTAGATAGTTCTTAAAACCTTTTGGCTAGTGGGAATCGCCCGGACCCGACTGGAACAACTCTTTGACTCTTTCAGATTGGCTTTGAAATTCCTGCGAGAGGAGATAGATTTGGTATTCTTCAAAGATGGAACTAACAGCACATTTTCATCATCCAAGACGTGTCTCCAGATCTTTCCATGGGACCACTGCCCTTTTAGGGCAGGCATGTAACCTCAAATTCCCGTGCCGTAAACAACCACACAGGGGCGGGTGTACGGCATTTGACAACGTTGGTTTCGTACACGGCGGTACTTGGTAGTCGGTGGCTGTACACGTCAGCTTACTGCCTACACGTTGTCGCACTGGCAGCCGCTGGATTGACACACACGGTGGGTCGCCGCCGTCGATCTTAGGGAAGCTCGTTGAGGGTTTCCGGGCATTTAAAGGGGCAGGAGCGGTCTCCATCGATCGATCGTAGCATCTCGATCCAAACGAGTGGGATGCGTGTAAGCCTGTGAGGGTTGTGGATCGATCGATCAGTGCGGTCGATCATGGATTCTCTGCTCGGCAAGTCGATTCTTGCGGCATTTCCTCGATCGCGATCGCAGGCGCTGGCGGATGCCGCCCCTCGGCCTTGCGCGGCGAAGGTGAGCAATGGCCAGCAGCCGGCATCGACGTCGTCCAGTGCTACGAATTCTGGAACGCTGCCGCTTCCGCCACGGTCTTCGCTCCCCGGCCCGTTGAAATTTCTATGGTTTTCCAAGAATCAGGGTGAAATCTCGCCCAGCGATCCATTCTCGGTTCCCGAATCGCTGGAGACCAGCAATGCGAGCGGCGAGCTGCTGGTGGGATCGGACGCTGCCGACGAAGAAGTGATCGATCCAAACGGTAGGTCTTGGGCTCAGAATATTTGGGGATTGCGGGCTTTGATGGGGAGAAGCTCCATCGCGCAAGAAGAATCTGGAAGCGTGATGGTTGAGGACGACACCGCCATTCCACCGCCATCGTTACCGCCAAGGCAAGGTATTCCAGAATCCGAAAGTGGAAATTTAGAGGAAGAGAGAGCAGGGGCTCAATCGTGTCTGGAATGCGAGGTGGATGGCTGCTCGATTGAAAGCTCTTCGATGCTGGAAGTTTCTCACGTCCAAGTCTCTCACACCAGGGAATCCTTCTCCAAATTTTTGCAACCGGTGTCCTTGCGAGAGGCCAGAGTGATCGCTCGAATGTCACACCTTTGCAACCTTGCGTATAGAGTCGGCGACATCGAGGTACGAAACTCTCGCTAGATTTTCTTTCTTCTCTTTTGTCTTTTCTATCGCCAACTAACTTGTGCCGCGTGCTCTTTCGTTCCAGCCCAGTAATTTACTTCACACCCACGGCTTGGAATTTATAACTTCGTCTTTGGTCAAGAAAGAGCAAGCGCTGTCCAAAGAGCGAGCTTCTTCAGTTTCTTCCAATGAAAACGAAGAAAGCGATGGAGGGTCCCCTCGTATTGGGCAGAGGTTTTCCATATCTCCAGCCTCGGCGTATTCAGTGGCGTCGGCTGTAGCATCTTACCTTCACTCTCAGACAACGTCGCTCCTCCGCCATAGAAAAAAAGTTAACGAGGCAGCTGGAGATGCACTTAAAGATCAGAGATTTGGAGCTGTGAATGGGGACGGGCAGGAGGAGGCGGCGGATTATGAGTCGTCAGAGATGGCTACTTTAATCGCCTCCTCGCCTGTGACTGCGGTGGTGGCTGCCAAAGAGGGCACAAAGGATGCAGTGGCCAAAGACTTGCAGTCCCTGCACAACTGCCCGTGTGAGTGGTACTGCTGCGACGACAGGAAGAGCTCCACGCGACACTTTGTTATTCAGGTAATCCGCTTTTGATTTGCGCTAACAGGAGTTTTAGCTGGCATGTCTTCAATCTCCAGGGATCCGAATCGCTGGCGTCCTGGCAAGCCAATTTGTTATTCGAGCCGACGCACTTCGAGGTCAGCTAACTCCATTTTCTATGTGTGGAGGGTGGTGTTTTATTATTCTTTCGTTTGTGGACAGGATAGTAGCCTTGGTGTCTTCGTTCACAGGGGTATTTACGAAGCAGCGAAGGGACTTTATGAGCAGTTGCTGCCTTGCGTCCTCGAGCATCTACGCTTGCATGGGGACCAAGCACGGCTTTGCTTTACAGGGCACTCTTTAGGAGGCAGCCTTGCTACGCTCGTGTCCCTAATGCTCCGGATTCGGGGGGTGGTGCAACGAGAAGCGTTGTTGCCTGTCTTGACTTTCGGCTCGCCATGCATCCTGTGTGGCGGCGATTACCTCCTCGACAAGCTGGGCCTACCAAAAGATCACATTCGCTCAGTCATGCTACACCGCGACATTGTTCCCAGGACTTTTGCGTGTAACTATCCCGATCACGTCGCGGAGATTCTCAAGAGATTAAACGGCAACTTTCGGGATCACCCGTGCCTCAACAACCAGGTAAGAAAACTTTTTTCTTCCTCGACATCTTTCTAGTCACACTCAATACTGAACTTTGCGATGACACAGAAATTACTTTACGCGCCAATGGGCCAGTTTATACTCTTGCAACCCAGCGAGGACGTTGCCCCGCCGCATCCACTGCTACCGCCGGGTCTAGGACTTTACGTGATGAGGCATCCGGGGGAAGGGAACTGTAGCAGCAAGGTAGAGTTTAGAGCAGCGCAGCGGGCCTTTCTCAACTCGCCACACCCGCTGGAGATCTTGAGCGACCCGGGTGCTTACGGCTCCGACGGGGCGATCTGCAGGGACCATGATCCACGGAGCTACATGAAGTGTATCACGGGCGCAGTGCGGCAGGAAGCCAAGAGGAGTAGACGATTGAAGCGGCAGCAGCGGCGGGGACTTTGGTGGCCTCTTATCACGGCGGAGTTGTCATCCATGTTTAGAGACGGTGGTGGTGGTGGTGGTGGTGGTGGACAGGATAGAACTTTTTTAGTTCCAGGAACCACAACAGCAGGAAGAGGGGCAGTGGTTCTTTCCGGATCGTCGGCGCCGGGGCCAAGTGTGGTGGCGGCGGAGAGATTCTACGCGGGTGTTGTTCGTGGGATCCACGAGCACAGGAGGCAGGGTCAGGTGGTTCTTCTATTCTTTTTCTCGGTGAAGCTGGCGCTCATGCAAGGCTTTGCTGCGTTCTTCGCTTGGGGGTAGTCGAGGTCGAGGACTCCAGGAAGAACAGAGGAAGTGTCATCTTTTTGGATTGGAAGAAATCCAATCGCCGGGGATAGAACTTCTCATTTAGAAGAAATCCAATCCCTTGGGGATAGAAACTTTGAGGAGGACATTTTTTGTACAAACATTGGGGTGTAAATATTACTGTCGGCATCGATTTATTCTATTTATCTCGTTACCTGAAATAGCGAAGAACACGGCACGCAAGTGTATAAAAGTTGGGGAGTGTGTCCAAGCTAGTAGTTGCTGTCGTGCAGCTTTTGGGATACATTTCTTCGGACGTGAGCATCGCAATGCAATGCGGCGAAGGACACGTGGACATTAAAAAAACAATTTTATTTATTTGTGTTTAGAAAAACCACATGACGAAGAAGACAAGGACCATGGACAAATAGATAATGTTCCCGTACAAAATCTCCTCGTGTTTTTCCCATTTGATCTCTCTTTTGGGGATTTTTAGCTTTAAATTCTAGTGGAATGGGATGGTGGCTCTGTCAACCACCAGCAGCTGCAGAATGGAAAAAAAAAGCTTCTTTTAGTCCATCAGGATCAGCAAAAAAGAAAAGAGAGTGATCGATCGATCGAGCGATCAATCGCGCAAGTCGTATAGAGCATGAACGTAGTAGAGAATAGATTGATTCGTAAGTTACTATACAGTCATGTTATAAAAGTGGAAGCAACGCAGGAGACGAGGGAGAGAGCTATACAAAAAAAATCCACTCACTGCCTTTCTTTACTTCATCTTCTCTCGATCCCGGAGCTAAAAAAGAGAGGGAGGAGAAAAACAAAGGAGAAAACAAAGCTGACGAACATGGAGGCACAAGCCGCGATGAGAGAGAGAGAGAGAGATAAGAAAGATGGAAATGGAGGGAGACTCGCGAAAAAAAGGATATAATACATTACCACCACCGCCGCGCCGCCACCGTCGTCGCATCGACCACCACCACCATCGCCGCCTCCACAAAGTAAAGCTTGTTCTCGTCTCTTCTTCGTTGGCTCCGTGTCTCACTTCCAAGTGCTCTAAAAACTCTGCTGCTTCTGCTCTCGTCACTGTGATGAAGATGAACTGAGGAAAACTCCTGCTGCTCTGCCGGTTGATGAAACTCTCACTTCTCTTTTCTTTTTTTATGTCTGTCGGTCGAAGAAATCCTCCCCTCTCTGCCGTGCGACCGGGAGGAACTTTTCCCTTTCTTTTCTCCTTGTTTGCTCGTCTTGAATCACGGACTCCTGGAGGCCAAAGTTAGGTGCTCGACGCTTGTCTGCAGCGCAAGCCTCTCCGACACATCCGCCAATGATTTGAGGTTGCACTTGATCACTGTCTCCACGAAGAAACATGTGTCCTCCTTACTGTTCCCTTCGGGAGTGTCCACAACGTACGACTCGATCGCCAATGTCCCGGGCCTACCGTTGATCATCTCGGAGTGGAGCGTGATTATAGACCAGTAATTCTGAAAGAAAAGATCCACTGCTGTGAGATGATGATGAAAGATAGCATTCACGAGCTGTAGAAAAAGGAAAATCCAGCCGACACTGTGCGAGTGAAGCGAGGGAGATAACGAGGCGATAAGAAAAATAGTTTAAGAGAAAAAGAAAACAAGAGGAAACTTCGAGAAACTTTGGATGAGATGGGAAGAACAATTCGAAAAGAAAAGCGAGAGAGAGGGAGAAAAGAAAAGTGTACCTTGAGTCGATGATCTCCTCCAAGGATCCGGTAACTAAAGATGTGCTCCTCCTCGTCCAGGATCTCCAGCCTCTCGGTGCTGCTCGTGGCTGGAAGCCCCGTTACCACATTCACGTTTCGGATGCTCCCGACTTTGCCATCGCCATTCACAGTGCAGCTCTGGATGAATCTCTTGTAGCCTTGCGGTTGGTCAAATCTCCGGACGAGCGACCACACCTGCGCAAGAACAAAAGAGAGAAAAATCTCAGCTAGAGAGTAAGATCAAGCGCTCTTGGTTGTGAGAAATCGAGAGAGATAGGTGTTTGGGAGGTGACAAGAAGTCGAGAGATCGCAAAGAATGGATGCTCGGATGCTTGGTTGTGAGTAATCGAGAGAGCTACACCCTTTGGAAGAAAGTGGAGTTTGTTAGATCACTAGAATGCAAGAAAGCAAGCAATGTACTACACAGATTTCACGAATCTCGCATCAAATTCCTAGAACAGCACGATCTCCTAGCAAATTCCTAACGAGGAGAGTGAGAGGGCTTACCAGCTGCACGGGCGCATTGATGCGTTTGATGAGGATGGATCCACACTGATACTCTTGCATCTCGTGCTTGTGGTAGCGCCATATGTGCTCCTCCTCCCTAGACAATGCGTTGCTGCTCATCTCATCGATCGATCGATCCCTTCCCCTGCTAGAGCGGCTAGAGCTCTCACTCGCTCGTTCGATTAGAACCCTAGAAAACCAAAAGGGAACAAAAAAGAGAGAGAGAGAGAGAGAGAGAGAGAGAGAGAGGGTAAAAAAAAGAGAAGAACAATTTTCGTGGATAATAAAAACTTTCCAGGTAACACCTGTATCAGATGTTACCGCTCCCACGAAACGACCTATACGGTCCCACGCGCATCAAGGAGTAGAAAGTCGCCTTCCCCGGCCAGGGGGAATATTCCCCACCTCGCGGAAAAGAATAATTTCGTGCTTGGCTTTTCAGGCCCATCAAGAGCTTCACATGCTTCCCTTGTGCGCTGCCTTTCACGCTTCTTTCCTTGGAAGCTACCTCCTTTAGACATAAACTTAACTTCTTCTTCATCCATTTGCTTCTTCCATTTTGGAGCTCTCGATCGATTCAATAGCTTGGTCGCTGAGAGCTTGGAAGATCACGGGGTCATTCCAGAACCCAAGGAGAAACTCTTCGCATAAGAAACCAAAGTTAAAGTTTCCAGTCAAAAAACCAAGCTGAAGCGTTCTTTCAAACTTGACACAGTAGCTCGCGAGCGATTGTCTCGGTCAAAACCTCTAGTCTGGGATTAATAAACAAAAGCAAAGCTTTCTCTACACAAGATGGAGCTTACCTTGCAGCTAAGTATGACTTTGAGGACGATGAAAGACGACGAACGATCCATTCTTCGAGGCTGTCCACGCATGAGATCGCTTGGGGCCAACCAGATCCTTCCGCAGGCCGCTTTCAGCCACCCCCCTCATCCATGTGAATTCGTCAATTCCTTTTTTCCTTTGTGTCGTTATCCCTGGAAGAGTTTGGTAAGTGAAGTATGCGTTCCTTCGAAGGGGGAACAATAAAAGGTATGAAAGGGAAGGAGCTTACCAGCTTTTATTTGTTTCTTTTCTTGCGAAGACCTAGACCCTGGAGCTCGCAAACCTCTTCTCGAAAAGCCTGCGCAGTAAATAGACTTGGAGCAGGCTTGCAGAGATCAAGGCCGCCGACTCCACCACGGCTTTATAAACCACTCGCTTGCTCATTGCGTTGTTCACTGCAAGCACCATAAAACCGGAGCCGAGTCCAAACACGAGCCAGTCAGTCACTCCCCTTGGACGGGAAACAGAGAACAAAAACGAATTTAAGAGCCAAGCGACAATGCACTTACAGACGGATTGACGCTCAGTCTGAGCTTGCAGCCAGTGCTGCTCGAAAGAAACACTGTAGAGAGCCTCCTCAAGTCTCGCGATCTGTCCCATCAGTGGGTCAATGTGGTCTGCAAAGCAACGAGCGTCACCAAAAGTTCACGAAAAAAAAAGAGAGAGAATTTTGTTCTTACCATCCTTTGCATGATCGTCCGGCGGGGGAAAGTGGCCAACGTAAACGTCGAAAGCAATGGTTTCGTGAACTGGAGAGAGATTGTGGAAGCAAAACTTGTAGAGGCCTTTGCTATGTGCCACAAACTGGCTCTTTTCCTCGGGCTTGTTGCGAACATCGTAGGCTTGAATGCCTCCAGGCCCCTCGACCTGGCCAAAGAACACAAAAAAAAAACCATAAGACTTTGCTGTGATCCATGAAAAAAAAATCCAAGCACTGCTTCTTCTAAGCTAGAGATTTCCTTCCTGTGCTAGACGATTACCACTAGATCCACGCCGGCTTGCTCGAATCCCCAGGTACTGTCCGATTTGACCACCACGTACGAGACATGGACCAAATCGCCGTCATACTCCACCGGATGAGCGAAGCACTCCTTCCTGTCGATCACGAATCGCAGCGCCTGTGCGGAGCTCGCCGAGAGGAGAAGAATTGAGAGAGCCAGCGGCAGCAGCGGCAGCGCCATCGTGAATCGCGCCACGATCTCTCCTATAAACCCTAAATAGGGCTCTAATGGGCCAAACGCGCTTCTTTTCTTTAGTTTTTTCTCTTCGCCTCGATCCAGGGATCCGGCTCCTGGCCAAATCCGCTGCTCGGATCTTCCCAATTCTCGCGCGAATCACCGTCGGCCCTGCGGCTGCCGTGCTGCGCGATGTACTCCTTCATCCAATCCTGCCTCTTCTTCTCGTGCTCTTCGATGCCGAAGATTATGTCGAGCATCGTCCCGGTGGTGCCGTAGATGAGCAGTGGCGCCAGCGATTTGCGTTTCATTCCCACTGGAATCGCGGCAAGCGCCCCCACAACCGAGAAGAGCCACCAGCTGCGAGGTAGTAGCAGAGATTTTCAGCAAATGTGGCTTCAAATCGATCGATCTCTACCTACGAAATGGAACCTCCTTGTCAAGATCGATCTCCGGAGGGAGCTGATCCAGAAGCTCCTCGATCTCCTTCTGCTTTTGGCGGCTCCTCTCGGTGCCCAACACGCTCCCCATTGCTCCCTAAAACCCTAGCAATCCCCCCAAGGATTTTTGGGGGCTTCTAAGATGAACGGAGGAGATTAATATTTCACGTACACAAGCCAATTTACACGTTCCCTCTCTCGTGTTCTTCTCATGGTACTCGAGCCATACTCGAGCCATACTTGAGCCACCATTGCGAGCGAGGAAACTGTCGATCGATCCATCGAATGGAGCGATCAAGCCGATTGTGGAACCAGCTGCTCGGCGATGGTTTCATCGCTAAATGCTTCGTTTGCTTCCGGCGTGTCTTCCTCGCTGGGCGGAACGAGCTGCCAGAACTTTGGAAGAAATGCGTCCCAGTTTTGGAGAATATGGATTGCTCTGCTGCTCCCAGTCTTGTCCTGCGTAGCGCGACGAAAACAATGAGAAAAACCATTCCAGTACCTTGTAAAACAAGAGTAAAGAGTGTTCTCTCTTCTTACCACATGAGCTTGGATCAGTCGACGAAGCTGGACTTGTCCCGCGGGAGCGGTCACTCTTTGCATCCTTACAATCTCTTTGTTCACCTGTTAAGTTTGAAAGAGAACTTAGAACGGCGAATCCAGAAAGTTCTTCACTCGTGTACCTTTGGGGTGAGCGTGTCATCTTCGTCCAGGAAATATGCCAAGCCACCGGTCATACCAGCACCGACGTTTCGGCCAACTCTGCCCGACGAAACGTTAAAACACGAAAGAGAGAAGGAAAGTTTGTTTTTCGTACTTTCCGAGAGAGACTACGCAGCCTCCAGTCATGTACTCGCAGCAGTGATCCCCGGCACCTTCCACAACAGCCTCCGCGCGGCTGTTTCGAACCGCAAATCGTTCGCCAGCCTTCCCGCGTGAATAGAACTGGCCTCCAGTAGCTCCATAGAGGCATGTATTGCCAATGATTGTGGAGTCCTCAGGCACGAAGCCGGTCTTCTCGGGTGGAGTAATAACTAGCTCCCCGCCAGCCATTCCCTGAAACAAAACATTTTCTTTCTTCTTTTGAATGATAGAAGAAAAGTCAGTAAGTCACCTTGCCAACGTAGTCATTAGATTCTCCAATAAGCCGGATGTTCATCCCCGGAGTCAAGAAACATCCAAAGGATTGGCCTGCGCTGCCAATAAATCTACGCAGAAAACGCATGTGTGAGAGATAATTCGAAAGCACGCATACATGCGCACTTACGTTATGTTCAACTGTCCAGCGAAACCGGTGTCGCCGTAAGCTTTGGCGATGGAGCCTGCAATTCGTCCACAGACTGCACGATCGACATTATAGATCTTGAATGTCTTGGATATCGTCTTCTCGTCAGCGATTGCCTCCGAGATCTGAAGCATGCAAGCGTTATATACAGTGTAAAGATGATAACAAATGATGATAACAGATACTACCTCAGGATCAGCCAACACCACATCGTCAAGTACAGGTCCGTTGGTATGAACATTTTGACGCCTTATTTGGGTGCTTGAAAGCTTTGGCAACCCAGCGTTCTGTAATGCACGAACTTACAGCGAGCGAAAGGGTATAAAATAGAAAGAATACCGATAGCAAGTAACTCAAGTCGAGTAGTCGCGTTTTTACGAGGGGAACATGTCTTGGTTGCAAAAGCTCCGTTCTTCCAATCACGTCGTCGAGCTTTTCATAGCCAAGATGAGCAAGCAGGCCCCGCACCTATTTATAAAAAATGATGAGAGTATGGACCAAATACAATCCATTATCAAAGAAAACTCCTACCTCTTCAGCAACGTACAAGAAGAAATTACAAAGATCATTTGGTACTCCGGGAAATCGAGCACGCAACTCTTCCCTCTACGCATTGTTTAGAAAAGCTTCATTAAAAGAAAATAATCACGTCCTGAAGAAAGTTACCTGGCTAGCAACACCAACTGGGCAATTGTTGGTATGACAGATACGAGCCATGATGCATCCCGTTGCTATCATCGCTACCGATCCAAATCCATATTCATCAGCTCCCATAGCAGCAGCCATCAAAACATCCATGCCGCTTTTAAATCCACCATCGACACGAAGAACAACTCGTTCCCGAAGCCCATTCAACAAGAGAGCCTGACGGAGAAAGAACAAGAAATAAAGAGCTTAAATTCGAGAAAGTTTGAAAAGTTCGTTCGAACTGCACCTGTTGTGTCTCTGTCAACCCGAGTTCCCAAGGGCCCCCGGCATGCTTTATTGAGCTGATTGGACTGGCCCCAGTTCCACCGTCGTGTCCAGATATCTAAAGACAAAACGTAAGTTGGCAACAAAGGTTGAAACAAATTGAAACGCACCTGTATAATGTCTGCATTAGCCTTGGCAACACCGCTTGCTACAGTGCCAATACCCGCCTCTGCAACAAGCTTCACAGATACTTTGGCACGGGGATTCACCTGTCAACACAATGCATGAGAAGCGGAACGACAAATGTCGAACACGTACCTGATGAAGGTCAAAAATTAGCTGTGCTAAATCCTCGATTGAGTAGATATCGTGATGGGGAGGAGGAGAAATAAGTGGCACACCAGGTTTGGAGTTTCGCAGGACAGCAATGTAAGTACTAACTTTCTTTCCAGGCAATTGGCCACCTTCCCCGGGCTTAGCACCTTGTGCAATCTTAATTTCGAGCTGGTCCGCATTCGCCAAAAACGTTGGCGTGACACCAAAGCGTCCAGACGCAACCTTAACACCCGAATACCAGTTTAAATGAGATCTCTGAAAACGACTGCGCACCTGTTTGATCACACTTGTCGCGGTATCCCCATTTTGCAATCCTCTAAGATGTGGTAATGTCGGCGAATAACCATCCACTACGTCCGTCAAATGCCTCCAGCGTACAGGATCCTGAAACGACCATTGATAATCCACCATAAAAGAACGAAAATATACCTCGCCTCCTTCGCCAGAATTTGATTTGCCACCTAGCCTGTTCATTGCAATTGCAATCACTTCGTGTGTTTCCCTCGAAATAGCTCCTAGGGACATGCCTCCAGTACAGAAGCGTTCCACGATACTGGTGGCAGGTTCTATTCTTGACAGTGGAATGGGTTCTCTGTCGCTTTTTAAAGTAAGGAGATCCCGAAGAACCTGTAAATCAGGTTGGGACGCTCAAGAAAATGATTTTGAACAGAAACACCAAACTACTCACATTTACAGGACGGTCACTCAGGTGGTTTTGATATACAGCATACGCGCTCTCATTCTTCTCACGAACTGCTTTGTGAAGAAGCTTCGACATCTCTGGGTTATTTCCGTGATATTCGGCTGGAACAAAAGAATGTTAGAACAACAATAATTTCATATTCAAACATTACCGCCATTTCTAAACTGAATAAATCCATAGTTTTCGAGTTTTTTGGCTCCTTCGTCCGACAAGCCTTTGGCCCAAAATGATACAGATTCACGAGCGAGCTAAATTGCGTAAAGTATCCTTTTAGTTAAGTCAGGAAAAATAAAGCAAACAACGAGCCAATCAAATACCTCATCTAAAGTCACTCCTCCTATACGTGAGACGCTTCCCCTAAACGCGGTATCTACAACTTCTTTTCCAAGGCCATAAATTTCAAAAATTTGTGCTCCACAGTAGCTGCAAGAACGATTAAGCGTTAGTACGAAAATATCTTGCGGAATTATTAACGAACAAACCTTGATAGAAGAGAAATTCCCATCTTCGAAAGAATTTTTAACAGGCCAGCTCTAACCGCCTGGTGCTACAATGTTAGTATAGATGTGTTAACAAGACAAAGATCTTCACCTTGCGAAAATTCTGCTGCGCCTGTTCTATTGTCACGGTGGGTATTTTACCATTCTTCATCAGCCCAACAGTTCTGTTGCTCAGACGCCATTGTCTACACGTTTCTAAGGCCAAATAAGGACAAATTGCACTGCAACAAGTTAAACAAGTTTAGAATGATAAAAGAACACAAAAGCAGAATGCGCAACATTACCTTGCACCATACCCAACAAGGCATGCAAAATGGTGTGTACTGAAGCATTGAGCAGTATCAGCAATAAGAGATGCTGACGTGCGAAGTCCGTTCTGAATAAGGTGGTGGTGTACTGCTCCTACCGCAAGCAGCATCGGTATGGCAGGCTTAGTGGCTACCTGCACTTCAAACGAGCGTTTAATACCGGACACTTTAGCCACTATGGAGACAAGCATACCAGGTCATTTGCTCTGTCGCTCAAAATCAAAAGCTGTGATCCTCCACGTACAGCCTCATCAGCAACTTCACACAGCTTGTCCAGTGCAGAAGAAAGTGATCCTTCAAGTCCATTACTAATATCAAAGAACGTTGGAATTGTCGAAGCCTTCAAAACTGGATCCGTCTTCAAAGTTTCGAGCTCTCCTTCGTTCAATACCGGGCTCAGTAACTTCAGCTGCACATGCAAGACAATAGCTGGATGATTAAACTGCAACTATAACCCGCACCTGAGCAGCATTCTCAGCTTTTGGTTCCAGAATGTTTTCTCGCTTCCCAATATTGACGTCAAGAGACATCACAAGTCCCTCCCGTAAAGGATCAATAGCAGGATTTGTTACCTGCAAAACATTAATCTTTATGTCCATCCAAAGCCAATAGCTCTAGTTACCTGAGCGAATCTTTGCTTGAAATAGTCATACAGCATATGACCTCTCTGAGACAGAACAGCCAGAGGGATATCGTCCCCCATACAAAACGTCGGCTCTTTGCCTTGCGATGCCATGCTTTCTATAACCATTTGGACATCCTCAGATGAATACCCAAATGCCCTGAAATCTAAAGACATGAGCACATGTAAACCAGCATAAAACAATAAACGGCTTACTGTTGTCTCTGAAGGAGCTTATCAGTGTCCATAAACGGTTCAGCTGAAAATTTACAAACGGGAAGACTACGGCTTTTCTCATCCAGCCATTGGCGATAAGGATGTGAAAGAGCGACCCTCTTTTTCACCTCCGTATTTTCGGATACCTGTAGTAGCTTCATCACGTTATTACAAATGCAAAGCATGTTCTTCTTCTTGCCTTTCCAGAGTTCAAGTCTATGGCTATCATCATCCCAGGGCCTAAACGACCTTTAGAGATGATATCAGAATCCGGAATCGGGAGAACGCCCACCTATGTAACGGCATGGTTGTAGTTCTCTTCAAGTATAGCTAAAGGTAACGTGCTTCCATACCTCAGAAGCGACATACAGCATTCCATCCTTCGTTTCCCAATATCGAGCAGGACGGAGCCCGTTTCGATCAAGGCAAGCGCCAACTGTCCTCCCATCACTTCAAATACATCCGTTAAGGAACGTCTTCCTTTGAAAAAAATTAGCTTGTACCTGAAAAGGAGCAATGCAGGTCCGTCCCATGCTTCCATCTGGCCTGTGTAATACTCGTAAAAGTCAATAACCTGGTACAGACCGGAGAAATAAGTAACAAATCAACTGCTGTTGGCATAACAAACCTCCGGATACTTGATGGACAGTGTAGGGTGATTTTTGTAAGCCTCTGGAACGAGCATCATCAGAGTTGCTTCCGGGGTTCGTCCGCTCCTCATTAAAAGCTGAGATAGATTACTTTTAGAGGCTGTTCAGTTCGAAATAAATAGCATACTTACTTCAGCAGCCATGTCAAGGTTGGCCGAATCAGAAGCCCTGGGATTTCCAAAAGGTCGAAGTTCCTCCTCTCTCCCCCGCCAGACGGCACATTTTAGAGAGGCCTCTCTTGAACGCATCCAGTTAAGATTGCCCTTCGCAGCTATCACTGTAAGATGAAGATTCGCGACGCTCAGAAGGCGCTGCTTACCTGAAGTGTGTTGATCTCTCCGTTATGTCCCAAGAATCTCATCGGTTGAGCTAGTGGCCATTTCGGATTGGTGTTTGTGCTGTACCGTCTGTGATAAATCGCAAAAGTTGATGTAAAGCTCTTCTCGCGGAGGTCCAAGTAAAACTGGCCAAGGACTTCCGACCGCAACATTCCCTTGTAAACGATGGTCTGAGCAGACAGGGAACAAAAGTAGCACTCGTCCCCCCATGCTTCTCCTTCGATTTCCCGTTCGACCAGCTTTCTCGATATATACAGCTCCCTTTCAACATCCTCCACCGTACTCTCGCCACTGACCTTGACAAACACCTGTTCAATTGTTGGAAGGGCCATTTTCGCGTAGTATCCGACGACTGAAACGTCAACTGGAACTTTTCGCCATCCCAGAATCTCAAGGCCTTCACGATTGAAGACTTTGCAGATAGCTAGAAACGAAACCCGAAAAAAAAATACCGAGAGAAAGTCAACTATAAGATGTCGCTCAAATCCTATGAAATTCACTCACCTTGTTTGGCAGCGATGGCCGACGCTTCGTCTCGTGGAAGAAAAACCATTCCCACTCCAGAGTTGGACTGATCGGGCAAAGGCAATCCTTGCTCCTGAAACCAGCTGTTAAGCATGTCCCAAGGAATTCTCGTCATTAAACCGGCACCATCGCCAGAATCGCTATCGGCACCACAGCCGCCGCGATGCTCCATGCAGCCAAGGGCTGTCAGTGCATCCTCGATAACTTTGTGAGAGGACTCTTGCTTGGTGCTGGCTATAAACCCCACGCCACACGCATCGCGTTCCGCTAGGATGTCTTCTAGATCGGCCACCTAGAATTTCATCCATGAAAAATTTGCTAGAAGAGAAAATTCGCGTACCTGGAAGCGTGATGGCGAAGAATCCCTGCTTTTGAGAGACTGTGCGCGAGTGGAGCCATCGGGAAGAGCCTGCGCCCATGCCCGATATCGATTGTCGCAGGGATTATGGAGAAATCGTCGTTGCAATCCACCGAATGCTGGAAACCTGGCCCTGGCGGCGATAGCAATCGAGCTCGAACGCGCGGCGGCAGCTCCCCGAGAATCTTGGAACCTGGAAACGTAGAGAGTAGGGCTATTTGCCAGATACACAGCCATAGCGCGATTGAGCTGGAATCGATCCTGGTGATGAGAGAAGACGCCGCCTCCTAATCTAGCATTAGCCCAGCTCCATCCACCGATCGACCGAAAGGAGCCCCCTTAGGTAAGTGCAGAGAAAGCACACAAACAATATCGTCCTTCTGACAAGGAATGAAAAAAATTATAGGAATGCGCTACATGGTTGGAAATCATGCCACGTGGCAACACGTACCCTAAACTCTATAAGTTCTAATATAAAAAAATATAACTATAAAATTGATAAAAGTTAAGCATAAATATTCTTACATAGCTCTATTGTTGTCCAAGTTAAAAGGCAATAAAAAAGTTCTTGGATGAAGTAATGAAGGTTTCACACCACACTATAGTGAATAACAATCTTTTTGGCCATTGGCATTTTGATTGTTAAGAGGTACAAGCTTATATTATTATAGTAAGTTTAATGTTTTTATCAAAGAGTAATACAATATTTCAATAGATTATGATAAATATTTAATATTATTGCATTTATTTTATTTTGGAACCCTCCAAATACATTGTTTGATGGTATTATAAACAGCAATATCCATTGTCCTCAACACATGCCATTTATTGACCAAGTAAATATTATATGACCATATCACATTAAATGTTTATCATACATTACATGAACTAAATTACAATCTAATTGCATATGCAAAGAATAATTTCTATTACGAGGTTGAAAAAATTCACCACTATATAGATTTGAAAATCTTGAATAATCTTTTAAACTTCTAATGCAGTTGTACTTTGGTTTGAATTTCATCAATTATAAATCTGTTTATTGACTGCTTTAATATTAATATCAATCTTTTCATTAGTGTTTTCAACTGTATATGAAATGCTATACCTGCCACAATATATCCACTTATACCAAAATTTTAACATTTCAAAATCACGTTGTATAATCTCCCGTAACATCCTAAATAGTATTAATCTTATAGATCTACCAGGATATATGACACCAAAGCTGGGAAGAACGAAGAAACAGATTTACGTCCCAAGGCCGGAGCCATTAACTTCGTCCCCGGAGTGAGCGTGATGCGGTCTTATGCCTGCATAAGTTTTCCCGTTTAGCTTTCGGTGGTTTGACCACAAACACACAAGCTTACCTCCAGACAGGATCACAGAGTTTTGCACGTCTTCCTCACTGCAAATCTCCAGTTATAAAAATAGTGAAGAAAGCACATTGGACAGTTCCTGTGCCGCTCTGTGAACCTTCGACCTCTCTTAAAATAAGTACTCACCTCTTGCAAGATGTTCGTATGCTTTTCCTATGGCTCGATGTTGAAGCTGGGTATGAATGCGCAGCCAAGTGCAGTGCCCGTGTC